GGTCAAGATTCTCCCATACAGACCTCCTGCTCGGTTAATAAGAGCTAAATACAGTATATTCAAGGACCAAACAGTTTGAAACCCAAGTTTATTTATTTATCTAGTAATCAACACATATACAGTACATGTATCTCCTTCATAGAAATTAAGAACCCAATTAAGAACCTACTTATCCTAAATTGCCAATATTTACCCCAAAATACAAGAACTTATTTTGCCAGACTTCAAAAATGTAGGTTTTTACTAAAGCTAATATAAGTTAAAGGACCATTTGAAACAATAATGCTGTTTGTTACCTCATCCATTGCTCTGATTTGTAGTCGAAGTTTATCCATAATTGTTATAAAGAGCTGAAATAAACAAATGGTCACAAACCTATTCAGTATGATGACAAATATTTGCTTATACTCACTAAGAGGCAAAATAAATTATTGGGAAGTAAACAAAGAGGAAGAACAGAGTAGCATGAATTCAGCAGCTGGGATTTTGAGCTTGTTTTCAATTCAAAGGTCAGTCAGCAAATATTTTGCAATGACAAGTAGACTGTACATGTGTACATGCAGGCTTTGAAAGAATAAAACTACTTTGGCAAATCTCCCTTTAATGTCACTATTCCATTATCCAAACTAAGAGTAGATGAAATGCAACCAGGTAAAAGGTAACACAAAATACGCAAACAACAATTTGGCGTAATTGAGGGGGACACAACCCTGTGGCAGGTTTGACAGGACTTCATGATAGGTGCACAAACTAAAAGCCTCACCTATTCTCCCACTAACATGGGAATAGAACAAGAGTATTGGCAGAGCCTTTCTTATCTCCCCCAGCACAGCACAGCACAGGCTGGATCGGACAAGTTAAAGGCTAGGACATAAGATGGCAAGACACAAGCAATGCCAAAGCTTGGGGGAAGTCACTACGCAGACTTAACCAAACCACAAGGAGTGACCCCAGTTTATTGACAAGTAACAAATAAAAGCCCTTCTCCAAGGGAGGGAGGGTGGGAAATTTCAAATCTAATTACAAACTGTGTACTCTCATGCAAGCTGCCAGGATAATGCCCTCTGATAGTGTATTGAGATTTATATAGCAAGACAGTGTCTCAAAGTTCGACCAATAGGTACAGCTGTACTAGGAACTAAATAGACACAACATGGTGAGGTTGTTAGCAATGAATGGAGCCAGCAAATATATTGGCCAGTCTAGGAGAAGCTAAGGTATTTTGCTACATTATACCGCAAGATAGAAGCTACAATACAGACATGAATAGTGTTTGTGCAAACTACTAGAATAAGGGAACGTTCATTCATGAATTGAGCATTCAGTATCATACTATTGTTTATCCTACTGGACTGCGTGACGAACATTAACAGCCTAACCCTCAAGAGGTGTCATGTTCCATTAACTGCGTTTTACCACCCGGTAAAAGCGATATAAATCAGTGTGACATTCTTGGCTCAAATCCATCGTTTAACTTGTCTCTAGTTAGTCATAGCTCCTAGTATCAATAACCAGTCAAAAATAGTTTGTAACGCTTGTAATAAACATTTTCGCAAATCTTTGTCTAAGTAGTTGAATAGTACGCTTATTGTATGTTAATGGTATAATATAAATATAGATTAACCTAGACTACCTGTGGATTAAGTTTCTAACTTAAATATTTTTGATAATAAAGTGTAGATGTAAGACATGGAAACAACTCACTAACCTAAAGTTCATGGCTGTAAATTAATGAAAAAGGAATAAAGGTTTTGTTGTTGTTGTTGTTGTTAAATGAGATCAGACTAATGTCAAAACAATGCAGAAAGTACTAAGAAGCTTTCACTCACTGAAACAGTGTCTGCAATAGCTTTACTAGTGTTCCCTTTGTCGTCCTTTATGGTGATTGGTCTGCCTTCTTTTATTCTTTCTAATGCTGCAGGGCAATCCAGCTAAATAAGTAAAATAATATTATATTTAAGACTATTTACATGTAACACTTATTCATTTACATGTGACATGTGTCAAGTTAGCAACATTCTGTTTTTCATTACAATTCATTACAAAGCATACAAGGAAGTGACTGAACAGCAATGGCTTTGAACACTTTCTCTATGCACTTCTACAGAGTTGTTAAATTTTATACAGTTGTTTTGATTTCTAGATAGCAAATGAATACTGTCTGAGTGCAGTGCAAACCCAAGTCCAAAACACAGTACTGATCTACAAAAATGTAAATTATACTGTAAAATAATTAATACAGTTTTCTTACCCTAAATTTTTTCATAAAAGCTTCTACAGTTGGATACTCAGCTGATTGCACAAGCTTGAAGGCAGCCTAAAATATGAAAAAAAATAATTGAAACAAGAAAAAATAAGAAAAAAAATAAGAAAAAAATAATTGAAATTACATCACTTTTGTGAACATTTCACTTAAATTTTCTCCAAACATGAAGGTGAAAAGATTTCTACCTTCAAAGAAATTGTTCATTTGAAAAAGAAATTTGTGCAAATTTGTTCATGAGGGGTCCATCTTAGACATCTTAGCAGTTCCTATTGAAAAGGGAACAAATCAGAATTCTCCTTTTTATCACAGACCCCTTCAGCCATAAAATAAACACATCAATAGATATTTCTTCAGCTAAATAGGCAGCCATCAGGCTAGCAACTTTGCAAAGTTAGTATTGAATGATATTACAGTGTTCAAAGAGACATCTTGTAGCAGAAACAAAAGGCCAGAAGACTAGTAACCTTCTAAAGTTACCAGCCCATTCTGATATGTCTATAGCGTATTAAAGGAAGATACGTTAGAATGTGTCAAATGTCTAGGTTAGCTACATGTACCACATTTCATGTCCATGTAGAGCTGATTTTACCTTGTACTGAACAAGTAACTTAGAACAAGCAGCAGTGTACCTGGTAAAGAAAAGTACATGTAAGCCATTACAAATGGTTTACAATGAAACCTAGTTCAAAGAAGGTTCCAGCAGTCCAATTTTTGTGTATTCAAATTCTACCTGGACTCTGAGGCTTGAAGAATGAAACAAAAGGGATTATTTATTTATCCCTAGATCTCAATTTGCCTCAGAAGCACTGTAAATTTTGCCAGGAATCAAAATGAAACTGTTGGGACTTGGGGAGACACTAAGGATTCAGTTACTTGAAACCTTACAATGGTCTTGAGTCAGAAATAGCCAAGGCAGTTGGCTAAAATATCTAGTTATTTAAAAAATATCATACTCCCACTTCAAAGACCCTTTTTAAATTATTAGGACCTGGTCCCCTGTCCAATGTTACATGGAGATAATGAGGAGAGAGAAACATTTTAGGTGGAAGGAGATTAATTCATCCAAGGTCCTCAAAAGTAACATTAATTTTAAATCTGAAGAGTCTCAGCAGTTTAGCTACCACTCACTATTGTAATAATACACAAGTACCTTGCTAAAACATTTAATTTAGGAAAAATACACATGGGCCTTGGAAAATCAGGTGTACACTAAAAGTTCTGGGAATGCCATTCATAACTACGCGGTACTGCTCAAAAGGTTTTAATTTAGCCAGAGTCAAAAATGGATGAGAGATGCTGAGAGCTGGTCTTTCACTAACTATCATTCACATGCAGCTAATCAAAGATGAGAGTACACTAGAGTTGAAGAAAATCATGCAGCATACTTTCAACTGGCCTGCAACATAACTCTCATCGACTCTCATAAAAATTTCATCCTCATCATCTTCATTAACATTGTCATCCCTTTCTATGAGTATTGTCCTCTTTCTTGCTCACTGTGTGGCCTTGCACCAACCTCTGTATCCAAATTTAAAAGACTCTTTTTCCACCAATATTTGTGTGATCATAAAAAATTTAGCACGTTCAAATTTGATGAAAGTAGTAAAGATTGCACAAATGGTGGTAGAAAGCTAGGGAGTCTCAACGCTTGACAACTGTACTGTCATTTTCATCTTAGAGTTGCATCCTCTGTACTAAGTGACTTACAGATGTGCAGTACTTACTCTCGTGGTGTTACAACATCTCTGATGTAAGCTTTCTCGAGACACTGCAGAGTGTTGATAATGGAAAACAGATCTGCCATGTTGTCATACCTGCAAAATAATATATGTTTAAGCATGAACTGATTTGTATTGAGCCAGCCAGAGTACTACCATGTAGCCCGCCATGACTGTAGTTGCGTGTGTTACAAGTACGTAAATGATTACACTTACGTCTCTCTTTCTCGTGCATTCTTATAAAGTTTCACCTCCTATTGGAGTAAGAAAAATACCAGATTCAATCATTATGCAACTAACAGCTGTTATTTTCATCAGAATTACTGCATTTTTATAGCTTATAAGACTTAAGCTCAAGCTAAAAAATGTTCCTTTACAACAGAGGGTAGATTCCTACCTCAAACAGCTCTGGCCTCATTGCTATATGAAACACAATTGAAACGAAAGTTATTCAACAAGGAAAACCAAATATATTACTAGTACAGTAATTTTAGGTTCTTAGTTGACATACATGGAAAATATATTTTAAAAAAGTTCAAATTCCGATCAAAATGGCGTCCTAGGTTAGTCTTGAAAATGATTCTTTCCTGAAGTCTATAGTGAACTCTTTTCCAATGAAGCCTTTCCTCCTTTTAGTGAAAACTACGATTGTACAGGACGTGTACAAACCTTGCTGCGAGGGCTGATTTCCAGAAATACCTGCAAACATATTTAAAATTAAAATTTGGCGAACCTAAATCGAGCTGTGAATCATTTGCTCAAGTTGTTTTTAATAGTTTTACATGACGTAGTCGAGGTTACTAAGTAGCCTGGCCGCCGCGCGTTTCACGCACGCGATCCACGCTTTTCCTTACCAGGGATAGACCATTTGACCTTTGAGGGGGAGTGGTGGGTGATTTTGAAAAAAAAAGGTGTCCTGCAAGCATACCTGCACCTAAAAAAGTTCATGCATACATACCTGTACCAAATNATTTTGAAAAAAAACAAAAAAACAAAAAACAAAAAAGGTGTCCTGCAAGCATACCTGCACCTAAAAAAGTTCATGTACACATACCTGTACCAAATCACCCACCCACTACCCTTTGAAAGTCGAATAGGCCTAGATCGAGTTGACCTTCAAGCTTCACGCATTCGGACGTTGCGTAATTTTTTCGGGAAGGAAGGTTATCGCCACCCCCATCTCCTTCGCCCTTCATAGTCCGAAGGTGCTTGTAGCTAGGCCTATGTGCAGAACGTTTCTGTCAAGATGAGTCTCGCCTGCGTGTATCTCTTGAACGCTAACAGACCGCTAGCTATAGTCATATGATTTTAATTGAAAATACCGGCAGAGTTGTTCACGAAACTTTCTGGAACCTTTGACAATTGCTTCACGTGAACTGTCCATGTTGTAACATATTTTTAGTTATTTTTCTTGAACTCTTGCCTAACGTTTATGTCAATAAACATATTACAGCTGTAATTTTCGATTTACAATGAGAAAACACTAAAGACAATTGAGGACAATTGGATCTCTGAGCTTATGAGGCAACATTAAAATTGTAAAGAAAAAGGTATTTCTCATAGTGTCGTTGTACATGTGGTAGTAGGTTT